CAGGCTCTCTGCCTCCTCCAATCCCAAATCCAGGAATGATCTCCTTGGATTTTCTCTCCCTGTCCTCCCGCCACAGCAAAGCCCCTGAGGTGAAGAGCTCTTTGCATTCTGCATCTGCTGTGAACCCAGGACCCTCCACAGATGTTATCTGGAGAGTAGAGAGCTAACAAACCCCCCCCCCAGCTTTAACCCCAGTGTGAGTTTGGCCCAAATTCACCTGGTTCCTGCAGGGAATCACAGGAGCCATCACCACCCCAGTGATGCCCACCCCAGGGTGGAGCTTTTCAGCCCTCAGGCTCCTCAGGGAGGTGAACACGACCTCAGAGCCTCTCTCAGCTTTTGGACAACCACACCAGAAACGTTTTTGTGGGGCTACCAAAATTTCCAAAAGAAATTTGGGCTGAGGAGAAAACCACTGAAAGCTCCTTGGCTGTTTCTCCACCCCGTTGGTGTTCCTCAAAAAACTCTCCAGCCTGAGGGTGACCTGCTCACAGCAGCAGAGGGAGGAACAGAATGAAATCAGAATGGACTGAGAAGGGGCAGATTTGGGGCCATATTTCAGGATATGAGCATTCCAATCAGATCCTTGCATCTAAATCCATCCATGATCCACATAAACCCATCGAGATCCACAGGGAGAGATTCTCCTTGACACAACTGGGCAGCTTGAGGACACTTTGAACTTCACACATCCCACGTCCACTTTGGGACCCTCTTTGCAAAGACAGAACGTTGTAGTTTTCATCCCTACCTGGAGTATTTTTCACCCCCTCGTTTGGGGGGCTCTTAAGATGAGCTCTTGCCCAGATATGTGCCCCCAACCCAACAGAACCAGCTCCAGAGGCTCTTGTGGCTCCTGCTTTGTCCAGAGTGGACATCCCTGAAGCCACCCCCCAGCTGATGGACCCAGATGTTGATCCCAATTGAAGTTGTCTGCTCAGAACAATGAGAGCAGAGGATTATTGTGCTTACAGGGGCTGCTCAGCACATTAATATCCAAATCTCCTTGTTTATTGTGGCCTATCAACCCTAATCCAGCAGAAATCAGCAAGAGTTCATTAAAGGAAGGCCAGGGGATTACAGGAGGAGTTAGGACACAATGGAATCTCTTTCCACCCCTCAGACACCTTGGGGCACAATGGCAGAAGAGAATCAGGGAATGGGTTGGGGTTGGGAGAGAGCTTGGAGCTCCTGGAGTCCACCCAGGTCCCCACTGCCCCGTGTCCCTCACCCCACATCTCCAGGGCTTGGGAACCCCTCCAGGGGTGGGGACTCCACCACTGCCCTGGGCAGCCTGGCACAGCCCTGGGCAACCCTCCAGGGCAAGGAATTGTTCCTCAGGGGCAACTGAAACCTCCCCTGGGGAAACTTCAGACGTTTCCTCTTGACCTCTCATCCTGTGGCTTGTCCCTTGGGAGCAGAGCCCGACCCCCCCCTGGCTCCAGGCTCCTGTCAGGAGGTGTCAGAGCCAGAAGGTCTCCCCTGAGCCTCCTTTGCTCCAGGCTCAGCACCCCCAGCTCCCTCAGCTGCTCCTCCCCACACTTGGCCTCTAGCCCCTTCCCCAGCAGCTCCGTTGCCCTTCTCTGCCCACGCTCCAGCCCCTCAAGCTCCTTCTTGACCCAAAACCACCCCCAGGATTCAAGGTTCAGCCTCCCCAGTGGTCCCCATCCCTGAAGGGGTCCAAAACCCATGTAGGTGTGGCACTTGGGGCCATGGTTTAATGGTCAGGGTGGTGTTGGGTGGCAGCTGGACTGCATGATCTTAGAGCCCTTTTCCAACCTCAATAACTCTATGATTATTATTGATTTGCCCTCTCACATTAAGGAAATCTCACCCATGCCACTAGGAAGGAGCAGATCATTTAGGGTAGAGTAGTAGAGTCAACCCTCAAAAAAATCAACAGCCCCCTTTTTCTTTTAACCCCCCAGTTCATTCTTTGAAATGCAAATTTTGACACAGTAGCTGAGTTTTGCCTGTAAATAATTCAGAGGCTGCCCCAAACCAGAGTGGTGGCAGATCCCTGACTGGCTGAGGTCACTCATTACAGCCCAAACCTACAAAGTGAAGCCCTGCAGGTCTTAAATGTCATTGAGGAGAAGTGGCAGGCAATGTTCAGAGACCTTCTGGGTGCTCAGAGACCTTCTGGGTGCCCAAAGACCAAGGAGAAGGTCGCCCAGCATCCCCCAACTGGCCAACAGCAGAGCTGGGACATCAACCCCAAGCTCAGACCTCTCCTGCTCACCACAACTCTGCTCTCCTCCCACTCAAAATGCTGCTGGTGACTTCTCCCCATCCTGGTTTCCCCCCCAAGTGACAGTTTTTTGCTGAACTTGCTCCACCAACACTCTCAGGGTAGGTCTCAACCTCCCCAATATGGTGTAAAACACTCCAGAGGCCTCTGTGAGGCTGGATCTGAGGCAGAATTTCTTGACTGAGAGAGGGGGGAGGGGTTGGCCCAGGCTGCCCAGGGAGGTGCTGGAGTCCCCAGCCCTGGAGGGGTTCAGAAACCACGTGGAGGTGGCACTTGTGGCCATGGTTTAGTGCTCATGGGAGTGTTGGGTGATGTTGGGCTTGATCTTAGAGCTCTTTTCCAACCTTCAGGAGCTCCTTTTTGTGCTCAGCGTGGCACCCTGACCCCAGGCAGCTTCACAGCCCAGACACTGGTCAAAGTTTGCTGCAGGGATGCCAAAATCAGCCTCAAAACACACTGGTGGACTATGAGCTGCCAGCAGATGCCATGCTGAGCATGAAGGAGCTTTCCCTGTGCCCTTGCAGGTGACAATTCACTTCTCTGCTGGTTTTTCCTCAGTCAAAGGGCAGTGACTACATCCACTGGTCACTTTTTCTTCCTATTTCTAGGCTTGGCTGAAACAGGATTTAGTTCAAGGGCTACTTTGTCAAGCAGAGGGGGGAGCAAGCTGGGTAATTTGGGCTGGAATCACTGGAAATGTGGGCTAATACAGACTTGCCTTTGTAACCCAGTTCACAAAAGCAATTTACTTCTGGGCAGCAGCAGTTCAGGAGCTTTCCAAGCCTCCAAGAGGCAGCTAAAGCAAAGGCCAGACTGGGAATTGGGAGGGTTGGGGGGTTTTATTCTCAGCAGGTGATGACAGGAGCCACTGGGTTTTCCTGTGAGGGAGTTTTTATGGCTTTGGAGCCTGATGCTGCCTCACAGGCATGAAAAAGAAGGGGAAAAGGGCAGGGATTTTATAGATCTCACCGTGGAGTCTGATGCAGCAGCAAATAAGACCCAGTGTGGACTAAATTTTCACCTGTGCTCAAGTTTTCAGCTGAATCTCAAATGCTCAGATGAATATTTTGGGTTCAGGAAAGGTTGTTTGTGTTTCTGAACCAGCAGTGAGGAAATGCAGCAGGCACTGGTGGGCTGATGGGGTTGTTGGGGCACAGCAGAGCAGTTGCAGGTTTCTGGACAAGACTCTGTAACTCATGAAGTCATTGAGTTGTTTGGGTGGGGAGAGAGCTTGGAGCTCCTGGAGTCCCCCCAGGTCCCCCCTGCCCCGTGTCCCTCACCCCACATCTCCACGGCTTGGGAACCCCTCCAGGGGTGGGGACTCCACCACTGCCCTGGGCAGCCTGGCACAGCCCTGGGCAACCCTCCAGGGCAAGAAATGGTTCCTCAGGGGCAACTGAAACCTCCCCTGGGGCAACTTGAGGCCATTTCCTCTCGTCCTGTTGACAAATCTCAACAGAGACCCTTAGGAACAGCTTGCTCAGCTCAGCACAGGGGACATGAAGTGCCACCAGCAGTGCCCACCAGGAGCCCTTCCAGCTGCTGGGACACCCCAGGGACAGTGACCTGGAGCACAGATGAAGCTCAGCGTGGCCACTGATCACTCCCTGCAGGGATGAAGCCCTTACAAACATCCAGCCTTGCAGGAAAGGCAGCTCAGAGCTTAGAGATCCATCAGGAAAGCTCCATCCTCTAGGAGAAATGCAGAAGCTGCAGCTGATGCTGGGCAGCCAAGAGATCTCACTCACTCAGAGACCTCACCTCTAAGCACAGACACATGAACTTCACTGCTACCCAACGTGGCTGCTCCAGAATTCAGCAGGGGCAAGGAGACCACGGCTGGTTTTGGCTCCTGGTTTTTCTCAGAGCACGTGGTGAATGATAAGCAGGAAAACCCCAAACCCATCTTCCTCCCTGCCCTTGAATTTGGTAAAATGCACCTCAGACCTTCAGCTGGGGAAGGTGTCCCTCAGCCACGAGGAGCAGAGCTGGGCTTGGACCATCCACACATGGTTCTGTGTTTCACTGAGTGGTGAAGAGCATAGAACCACAGGGGGTTTGGGTTGGAGGGACCTCCAAGGGTCACCTAGTCCAACCCCCCTGCTATAAACAGGGACATCTCCAACTAGGTCAAGCTGCTCAGAGCCTCATCCAGCCTGATCTTGAATGTCCCCAGGGATGGAACCTCCACCAGCGCTCTGGGCAGCCTATTCCAGTGGTTCATCGCCCTCATACTGAACTTTTTCCTAACATCTGACCCAAATCTGCCCTTTTCCAGCTTAAAGCCATTCCCCCTCATCCTGTCCCTCCAAACCCTTGTGAATAATCCCTCCCCTGCTTCCTTGTAGGCCCCTTTCAGCTACTGGAAGGTCTCTACAACATCTCCCAGGACCTTCCTCATCTCCAGCCTGACCAACCCCAACTCCCCCCGCCCGTCTTCCTCCGAGAGCTTCTCCAGCCCTCTCCTTACAATCCCTGGGGCACCTCTGATTCCTGCTCGTGTTTTCCAGCCCCAGGGCTGCCCGGGGAAGCAGAGGGAACTCACCTCTTGGTGTTGTGGATGGTGGTGCCCCCCAGGACCAGGCGCACGCCGGGGTTGCTGCGGTTCAGGTTGTAGACGGTCAGCGCCTCTTCGTAGGTGGCCCCCCCGATGAGGAACACGATGATATCCTGAGGCCTGCAGAGAAAAGACCACCCGTGGGGATGGGGTAAAGCAAGGAGGAGTCCACCAGGGCACAGGGTGAGGTTTAGTGCCTGGCTGAGGTGCTGCTGGGGGTGGTGGCTTCAGATCTAGGCAGGGGTCCAAGGAGGCCGCGCTGCCTCCGAGCAGCACTGGGTTTGGTGGTGATGGAGCTACTGGGTTTGGGGTTTTGGGTTGGGGTGTGGTTTCACCTCAGTGGTTACACTCCCTGGGGTGTTCCAGAAAGCAGAGGAAAGGGGGAAGGAGACAAACCTTCTCCTGACAAAACCCAGAGGTGGCCCCATGACCCCCCTCCCCGGCTCTCCAGTAATCAGAGGAAAGGGGAAAAGAGACAAACCTTCTCCTGACAAAACCCAGAGGTGGCCCCATGACCCCCCTCCCCGGCTCTCCAAGGCCCCTGTCATTTCAGTTCAGTCACCAGACAGACCAAGAGCAAAACCTCTTCTGCCAGCAGAGCAGGGCTGTGGCTCAGAGAGAGTGTGACCTGTCACATCACACAGCCACAGAGTCCTCT